GCAGGAGCAGGCGCTTCCTTGACTGTGCTTCCATAAGAGCATGAAGAAACGGATTGGAAACCCTTATTTTGGGGGCAGAGAGGTGTCTGTCACCCTTCGCTGCACAGGCTCCCCATCAAGCAGGGTCCCTGTTGCGCTCTCCACCTACTTGCCGTAGCAAGACCCCAACGTGGGATTTAACCCTATTGAACCCTATGTCCCTACTGCCTTCAACTCAAACCCCATCTTGGCTGCTCCAGCACGGCCTCAGCACAGTTTTGCTCCCCAGTGATGCTCAGGGCTCTGCAGAGCAGCAGCAAAGGGGCTTTGCCAACAGCTCTGCCATGAACAAAGGAGCCGAGCCTGGCGCTGGTCCCCTCCCCATGCGGGAACGATGGGATTCATGGATTTGAGGGGGGCTCCAGCAGCTGGCTCCATCACGTAGGCTTTGCTGCTGCCAGGTTGGGTAATTACACACTGAGCCGGGAGATGGGAATCCGGGATCCGATCCTCGCCGCCATGAATTGAACTATTCATCATTTGATAAAATGTCCATGCAAAGAAGGGGGGGAAGAGGGGGGCTGACCCCGCGCTGCCTCTGCAGGGTATGAATTACAGAGCCCAGCCAGCCTGCTGGCCGCAGACAGGCGATATTAGAGCGCCAGATTAATGCTGCATTGAGTTGCAATTAAAACTCATTGCAAAGCTGCAGGCCAGACAAGTTGCCTTTGATGAGAGCGATGCTTCTTGAAACGGGAGCTTCCATTTTTAGGCTCAAAGCAGCCCGTTATGCTCGTTCCCAACCCCCCGAAATCCTTCCATAGCTAAAGATGAGGAACATCCCCGCTGTTGGAGACAAGGGGGTTTGTTCTGTGCCTCACCAACAGCTCAGGGCTGAGTGCCTTGTTCCAGCTGGTGAGCAATGTGATCCCCTTGCCTCCTTCCAGCCCTGGCACCATTATGTGATTGCCACCCATCACGTGCTGCAAAGGAGCTCCTCCAGAAGAGCCAGCATCCTCCCTACCTGCCTCCATCACCCTCCGGAGTCCACTTTGCACCGTGTCTCACTCATGTATGGGCAGCCCGAATGAGGGGAGGATTTTCCTATTGCCACATCGCCGAAAAGAGTGGGGTTTTGGAGCAGCAAGAGGCAGAAGAAGCCCCACTGCTCCCACATCCACCTTCACTGCTGCCTCCCTGTCTCGCTCCCACCAGGAAGAGCATCTGCCCTCGATCACAGCCCTGTGCCAGCAGCTCGGCTCTGCAGAGAGCAAGAGTTAAAGGAGCCCTATGGTTCTGAACACCATGAGCAAAACCCCAAGTAACAATAAATGTATTAATCTAGAGATGTTAATGGAATTAATCTAATTTATTTTCTAGAGATGTTGGCTATCCAGCACCTAATCCATTACCTGGAGTTTATTACTCTCGTTTGGAGTCCTCAAGCATCAGAGCACACAGAGTGCTTCATCAAATCCATCTTTATCAAACCACCTAGAGAAGACTTCACCCCTTATTTCCTTGGCAATAAAGTCAGGCTGGGCTTGCCTTACTGCTGCAAAGCCATTTCCCCTGATAACATGGCCCAGTGCCTCCAATCGAGCTTCCTATTGATTGAATCAGTATCAGCTTTTCCATGGGATCAGCATTTGCCCCAGACAATTTAAATCTGCCCTCATCACCAAGGCAGAGGACACCGTGACTTGCCATCAGGAGCATCATGGCATTGGAACCACACCATCCCCATCAAGGGCCTCTGCAGTAAGTACAGTTCTACCTGGGTTAGAGCATCATTCATTTACTGTGATCATGACAGGCCATGGTTACAATCTCCTCTCTGGCCTTTGGTTTCATCTGCTTGCTGAGCTATGAGGATGAGCTGTTATCTCAGCAGCGTGGCTTTAAGGACTTAACACCAATTAATACATGGTAAAGCCAGAGAGAGCACAGGATAATTCACCATGGGACCCCCCGGATGCACCCACTTTTAAACTGCATCTCCCACGTAAACCCTCCAGACATTTGAAAACTCCATTCCCAAAATGAACGCACCCCCAGGCCCAGTAGCTTGTGTTCATGGTTAAGTCTATTTAGGGCTTTGGAAACTGCCTCTGGTGATGGGCGGGAGCTGGAAGCACCATTGATATCCCAAGGGACTTCTGCCATGCCTCTGCCTGCCAAAACACACCCGGCACAACCCATGCTCTGGGGTTCAACTTGTCAAGCTCCTCCCTGGCCATAGGATTCCCACTTGGGTATTCCCAAAGAGCCCTTTAGCCTTTGGATGGCAGCTGAATCCCGCTTCTGCTCTCCATCCTGTGCCTCACATCGCCTGGCTCCATGCTCTTCCCATGAGGAGAAGCTCATCCTGGGTGAGGAATTACACACACAGCCCTGCTGAAGCAGGCTCCTGCCATGAGAGCTGCCCTGTCAGCACTGTTTGCTGTCGCTCTTGCAAGCAGACTGCTTTATCTCCATCACCTTTGGGCTGGTTTGATGTCTGCAAGCAACAGAGACCACACCTGAGCCCCAGGCCCTCGCAGCACCACCTGCAGCAGGGATGATGCTGCCCGGATGCCTACAGCATCTTCTCCGCTGATGCCTACACCACCACCTTGCTGGCTCCGAATGCCATGCCCTACAATGCAACAGCATACTTTGCCATACAAAGCAACACCGTGCCATGCCACGATGCCAGGGAAGTGTTGCAGGGTTTGGGCAGCTCCCTGAGCACAAGGAAACTCTTCCTGCGTTTCCATCGGCCTTTCTCCATCTGTTTATAACCCATGTAAACCCTCCTGGGTAGCAAACTCCCCCCGCAGAGCAAGGTCTGGGATGCTGCCGCTGCCTGCGCTTCCTCCTGTGGGAGGGAAGGGGGTGGCTTGGGACAGGGATGCAAACAGCTTGTTGCACATCCTGACAGCAGATATTCCTGCTCCCTTCTTCCTTCCCTCCCACCAAGAGAAGCATTCCGTGCCTCCCCAGCTCTGCCTGGCGTCAGCACCCACACTTCATTTTCCAACCAGTTTTTCCCTAAGGATCAATTGCTCGGGATTACTGGCGAAGTCTGTGAAATCCTGCCCATGGCTCCTGTTCCCAGCATAGCCTGGGAAGCACCCGCAGCGTGGGAGCAGCTGCAGGAATGCTGTAGATGCCTCTCCCTGACAGCACTGGGAGCTGTGGGCTGTACTGGTGGTAGTTGGACACCTGCTGCTGGGCAGGATGCAGACCCCCAAAGACCCCTTTGCCTGGCCCACTGTGGGAACACACACGCGATTCCTGGTCCCCAAACCCTCTTTCCCCCCATAACCTTGGGTCACTGGGCTCTTCCCTTCGCACTGAGTCCTGGCAGCCAAAACCACATGGAAAAGCATCCCCTCTCCCACAGGTGCTTGTGCCATTCTCTTCCCACACCACTGGGTACTATGGAAGGACCAGCACGTGAAGGACACATTGACCACCTCAGTGCTGGGGTCCATGCCTGTGGCCTGATGCTGTGGCAGGTCCGAAGCTGCTCTTGACATCAAGACATCACCAAGACAGTCCATATTGCAGGAAATAAAGTTTATAGGGTGCATTAGAGCTTTACAGTGCTCGAGTAAAAGCCTGCTTTGTGCACATGACATGGATCTTCCCATTTTCCACCCCCATTCCCCGAAATCCAACAGCAGGCTCCTTCCCCATCCTACTGAAGGTGCTTTCCCTTCGCCTTCCGGCCCTTTCTCAGCATAGCTCTGAATAGACCTATTTGCACTCAGCAAAACTCCTGTTAATGAGAACTGCAAATGAGCCAGCCTGGCTTAAACCCACGACACTTGATGCCAGTTTGTAGTTCTTGTAACCCAATTGACCTTCCAGGTCCATCCATCCCTCCCTCTTTCCCTCCATCCCTCCCTCAGCACCCAGGCAAGCTGGAAGCACACTTTGTCTTGAAGGCAGATGCTGCGGGACAGCATGGGATGCAGCACGGGGTGCTTGGAAACACACAACAACAAATGCAAACGCTGGTTGGTGCCCAGCAAAAGCCCAGCAGGCAAAATGCAAGTTATTTGTTAAGGATAATGATGGGAGAGAGGGGTTCCTGCCCTTCACTGGGGAGCGTGGGCATGCTTTCCAGGCTCTTTGGAGTGAGGAGGGCTTGGGTCAAGCAGGTCCAGCATGGACTGCTCTGCTCCCCACGGCTCCACAGTCCATAGGCAGCCCCTTCCCTCCGGATGCTGCCATACCGTTCCATGCCGCACTGACCCTGCTGAGTGCTCTGGACCACCCTGAACGCAGCATCCCCCTGGCACAACCTCGGCGCAGCGATTTGGGGGGCCCAGCAGCTCCCCATCACCTCCCACACCCATCAACTCTGCTGGGGGGGGGGGGGTTGCTCAGCCCCTTGCACCCCACAGCCCCCCCACACCACGGTGTCCGTCCCCCCACTCCCTAGGCCAGCAGCCACCTGTAGAGGCTCAGGGTCCAGTCTGTGTTTGGGGGGGCTCCGCTCTCCCCGGCCCCCCCGGGTATAACCTCCAAGGGTTAAAAATGCAGCACAGCAGCGAGCCGAGGGGGGGGCGAGCAGGAGGGAGAGGCAGGAAAACAATAAACCACGACGAAATAACGTCATAAATCAGTGCGAACGAACACAAATGGGTAATAAATAATCAGATAAATAATAATAGAGAATAAGTAGTAAAGTAACAAAAGTAAATAGAATTAAATAATCAAAATAAAACAGATAAAATAAATTAATAAAAATATAAGAAAGAATAAAAAATAAAATAAATTAAAGAGTGGAATAACGGAAAATAATAAAATAACATAAAATTAAAATAAAATAGAAATTAAAAATACAATACAAATACAGTAAAATTAAATTAAAATTAAACAAAAAATAAAATAATTAAAATTAAATGAAGTATTGAATTAAATATTGAATTAGAAGGAACTGGCCCCGCTCCGCTCCCCTGCGCGGCCCCATGCGGGCGGCCAGCACCGCGCAGTGGGTGCCAGGGCCCAGGCCGGCCGGTCCTTACCTTGGTGACAGTCATGCGGGAGGCGGCGGAGGGCTCGGGGAGCTCCGCGGGCGGCGGGAGATGCGCGGCGCGGATGGAGCAGGAGGAGGGCGGGTATAAAACAACGAGGAAAAGGCGGCTCGGGAGCGGGAGCCGCTGCGCTGGGAGGGGGACGGGGAACGGGGAATGGGCACGGGCAGGGACCGGAGCGCGGAGCCCGAGGCCCGGAGCCCGAGGACCGGAGCCCGGCGCCGCCCGCCCGGGGGAGCCGCCGCAGCCGTCGGTGCTAGCGCGGCGGTGATGTCAGCCCGCGCGCCGTGACGGAGCTGGGAGGGGGGGCAGGCAGGGGGCAGGCAGGGGACAGGCAAGGCGGGGGGGACACACGACGACACACGTTGACACACGCTGACACACACGGACACACATTGACACACGCTGACACACACTGACACACACTGACACACACTTCCCGTTATTTAACTCTTTCCCAGCCCGAATTCCCGACCGATTTTCCCGTTCCCGCACCTGCTGCCCCCCCCTCCCCTCGGCGATGCGCAGTGATGGGGGGGATGCGGGCAGTGGTGACCGGTTAGAGCAGCTCGCACACGCTGGGAGCGCAGCGGGTCTCCTATCGCCAAGGCGGTGTCGGTGGATGCGGGGCGGCTGCAGCCGAGTCACCGGCTTCCTGCAGCGGGAGATGGGGATGCGCTGCAGGGTTCACACCTTGCTGCCTGGTCCCTCGCATAGTAGGGTGCTATAGCATCCGTAAGGGTCCTGTAGCATCCGTTAGCGTCCTGTAGCATCCATAAGGGTCCTGTAGCATCCATAAGGGTCCTGTAGCATCCATTAGCGTCCTGTAGCATCCATTATCATCCTGTAGCACCCATTAAGGTCCTGTAGCATCCATTACGGTCCTATATCATCCATAAGCATCCATCCATGTGCTTTTTTCCCTTCACATACAAGGTTATTTGTATTTTCCCCCTATTATAGGCAGTGACAAGTGATGCAAGAATTTTTTCCTCGGATCTCATCTCAGTCTCCCCTATGTCAGGTTCAAGCCATTCCCCTTGGCCTGTCCCTACATCCCTTGTCCCAAGCCCCCCTCCAGGTTTCCTGCAGCCCCTTTAGGCACTGGAGCTGCTCTCAGGTCTCCCCTTCAGGAGCCTTCTCTTCTCCAGGCTGCCCCAGCCCAGCTCTCTCAGCCTGGCTCCAGAGCAGAGCTGCTCCAGCTCTCTCCATGTCCATGTCCATATCCATGGCCTTGCACCCTTCATGCCCTTGCTCCAGTCACAAACACAGGAATTCCCTCCTGTTTTTCAAGATCCATATCCCTGGAGATGAGAGAAGCGCTGCTTGGAACCAGCAGCATTTTAGCTCCTGTCTCCTGGTGACAGGGGAACGAAAGCAGCAGGATACAGCCCCAGCACCGAACCCTCCAGCCGTTAGATGAGACATTGCACCCATTTATTGTACTGTCGCTGCATTACGAACACTTGAGGCCCATTCCAAGCACATTGCCAGGTCCCCTTAAAGGAAAGGACTCTGCCAATAAACAAAGGATTTCCTCCTCATAAGGGGATTATTGAGCCAAGAGTCTGATGAGAGATTAGTGAGGTTTGTTCTGGTGCCCAGCCTCTCCACAAAACACGCATGGATCTGGTACCACTGAACCAAGAGCTGTAACAGACTGCTTGTTCCTCTGATAGTCTAAAACCCAACACTGGTTTTAAAGCTCTGGGTGAGCTGGGCTGGAAACTGTGAGCAAGGTTAATGCAATTAATGTAGGGCTAATGACATCAGCCACCTCTAATTCCCGATCCACCCAGCGATGACCTCTTCCCTACAAAAAGCCCATTTTCCTGGGAGCTGGGGATAGAAGAGGAAGGCTCTGTGGGAATGGAGATGATGCTTAAAACTAAGCAGAGCTTGGGAAGGGACCAACATGGGATACTGAGGCTCGAATAAGCCAAAGTGGGAGAAACTGGGCTCTTGCAAAGCCTCACAGGAGCTGACGTGTCCCGGCTGCCGCCGCTTGTGCCATGGAAACAGCAGCACCCGAAGCCTGCTGTGCCTCCTGCACCCGTCTGGGGCCACTGGGATTAATTAACACCAATTAGCTAATTGAAACAACCCGCTTGGAGCAGCCAACTAGGACATCTGGGGAAGGTAGGGTGAAAAAGGGAAGGCTGCTGGGAAGGCATAGGATCCCATGGATGGATGGATGGATGGATGGATGGATGGATGGAGGCTGCAGCCACTCGGCCTCTCCACATCTTGCATCCCCAAACCCCAAATGCTGCTGCTGGGGGATGTTGGGAAGGGCTGGGACCCCCTTTCAGGCAGTAGATGGAGTGGGAAGGGATGGGGAACACAGGATTCTCAGCCCTTTCTGGGAGCAGGAGGGATGCTGGGGCAGTTCAACCATTGCTGGGGTGGGAAAGGGGGGATTCTGCAGCATCAGTGCATGAGTCCTGGAAGAAAATGGCATTGATGGATGCATGAAGCACGGTGGAGAGCTGGAGGGGGCCATAGATGTGCCCCATAGCCATGAAAATACCACAGGCTCCTTGTTTCACCAGTACAGCACAGCAATTCCAACCCCAAATCATTCAGCCTTTGGTAGCCTGGAAAGGATTTTATTGTATTTTAGATCAATATTAAGCTAGTGATAAGGCTCGGGGGCTTTGCTATTGGGGTTTTGCTTTGAAGGTTTGTTGGGACCCCATTAAGGCTCCAGACTGGACTTGGGGGGCCAAAGAGGTCCATTTGTAGCCCTGCAATGCCAGCACCCGCTCCCCTGCTGCAGCCCCAGGGAAAGGGAGATGCTCAGAGCATGCAAAGAGCTGAAATCTCCTTCTGGCACTGGATCCAGCAGAGGAAATGAACATCAGACACACTGCATGGGGAGGGTCACTTGGTCCTCATCCTCTCGGGAGTGTGCCTCTGGTACCCCAGGAGGATGCCTATGGGATGGGCAACAGCAATGCTCCTATAGGGCAGGATAGGATATAGGCTGCAGCAGTGCAGCCCCAACCCAAAGAGCTGTGGAGCAGAGCCCTTGCTGGAAGGAGCCGCAATTCCCACCTGGAGATGGAATTTCCCACCGGCACCGTGGTCCTGGGTGATGGTGAGAGCGGAGCAGCCGCGGTGGGAGGGGACCTGGGTGGGTTCAGGGCTCTGGGGTGTCTTGGGCTCCCTCTCCTGGCTCTCTGAAGGTAGAATTGCTGCATGCACGGGGATGGGAAGCTCGCAAGCCTCCGGGCGCACGCTGCGGGGACAGGGCGGAGGATGCAGGGGGACCCCAGGGACACTGGATGGGGGGGAAGCGGCAGTGAGCATCGCTTTAGGCGGGTACAAGCCCATCACCACCGCTGCAGCAAAGCGAACCCAGGCAGGGGGATGCTCAGGGGGCTGAACTGGGTTAATTAACAAAGCCAGGCTGGAGGGGGGAACCGGAGCGCCCATTCCCTGCCCGCAGCATCTGGAGCCCATGCATGGAGCAGGGCTGCGGTTCCGTCCTTCCTGCCCGGCGGCTCCTCTCACCCCTCTGTCTGCGCGCTGGAGTGACCGGAGCTGCTGAGCAGGACAAGGAGATGCCGCTGCCTCCTCGGTGGATGCGATGCACTGCAAAAACTGGAGCCTGCCTGGCTGGGATGGGCTGAACTGGGCTGTGGGCATGGGATGCGTGAGGAGCGCGGCTCCTGATGCCTCTGGTCAGGGGCTTTGGGACACATAACTACAGACACATCTCTCTCCACAGCAATACACCGCCGTGCTAAGGGGAAGCTCCTGAGTGAAATACTGCTGGAGCCATCCTGAACTGTGAGTGTGAAGAGACTCACTCCTGAGCAAGCCATGGCTATGGGGCAAGCTGCCAGGCTGAACTGGTTATGCCACAGATGAGTTTTAGCCCTTCAGTTGATGGAACTCTTGGAAAGACACAGCTCCATCACACCAGGCAGCCTGTGGACATGTGAGGGTAATAACGACGCCACGCTGTAACACATAATTACTGTGTCACCAGAGAGCCCTGCCTAAGAGATGATTCATGAATGGAGCTGGCCAAGTCGCTTGCTGCATGATGGCTTTGCTCTGGGGATGCAGGTCAGGCCCCAGCTCTGCACAAAGTCAGGAGATGGAACTGCTCGGTGCTTAGGGCTGGCTGGAGCGCTGTAGGGATGGACCAATACCAGTGCTCCCATCGGATGTGGTGATCCTGATGCTGCCACAAGTCTTCATATCCCCCCATCAGCAATGCCATTCCCTCCAGAATGAAGGATGCATGGTCCTCCCTTAGCAAGTACTTCATTCTTAAGCAAAGATCCACCGAGCTGGTTCCTCGCTCCATCACTAATGAGTTATAGCTCTCAGCGATGCTCCCATTGCTGAACTGGTGGAGCAGGGCAGCCAAAGCTGAGCGCGCTGTTTGTGCTCGCTAAAATTACATTGGAATAAATATAGCATAGACACTACCTCCAGTCTGTGCATGGCAAATGGTCCTGGATCATCCCCAGAGGTACTGCAGCTGTGAATTATACAGAGGTTCGTGTGTGGATTCCATAGCGGATAATTTATAGAGAAGGCCAGGGACGGGCTTTCATCTGCTTTGATGGAAGCTCGTCTGGAATAACAATCCGTGGTAGAACCTGGCACTTGGACCTCACTACAAACTGAAGCCCTTCTGCTTGAAAGCAAGATGTTTCCATTTAAAACCACTGTTAGCAAGAACAAACATCTCTCTATTACGGCCTCCTTTCTCTTCCCCTCCTTTGGAGTCATCTGGTTCGGATTAGTCCTGGATAAGGTCCCATTTTTGCTCAGGGAAATGGGAGGGGAACTTGGAGCTATTTCGACTCGTTTCAAGAATGAGCTGAATGCGGTGCACAAAGGAAAACGCGATGCGCTCCAGCAGGCAAAGGGAATCAAAGGGACATGGGAGCTCCTCCGGGTGGAACATCGCTCCTAACGGCACAGGAGATGGATGGTGGGGGCTCCGTTTCCCACCTCACATCAGTGCCCTCGGTCCCCAGTTCCCAGATAACCACCAAACTGGTGGCAGTGACCCCTGCAAGGGGGATGCTGTGGTTGAAGGGTGGGTTTAGGGGGGGCAGAAACCCAGCTTGGTTAGGCCAGCCCCAGGGTTGGGGCTCCCAAACTGCTTTCGTGGCACCCCTCAT